CGCGTCGGCGCGACGCCGACGCCGACGCCGACGCTCGCATCGTTGTGCCCAGAGCGGCGACGCGCGGCGGTTGCGGTGGCAGGGGCGGCTTACTGGACACTGGTGCCCTCCCGTTGCTGCTGCAACAACGAACAGATAGACAACTCTTCGGGATAGTCGATCGGTGATTGAGGAGGTATCGAGGAAGCCTTTACGATAACGCGGGTGATTTAATTTGATACGAACTGCTGATTGGAAACTTCGCTGCGCCACGACCAGGACATCGCGAATCTACGAAGAAGTTGAAAATCGGAAGGACAGAAGAGCTTGGTGAACGAAGCCCGTCAGCGGACACAACTGATTTTACACAACGCCGTACGTTACATCGACGTTGGGTGAGATAATTGGATATTGGCGGATTGCATCAGAGTTTTAAGAGTGACCCTGATACGCACACTTCGCTGGGGAAGCTCGTAAACTGATATGAAATATTACGATAGTAAATTCGTAATAAAAATATGAAGCTTATATTAAAACATTTATCAGCATCAGATCATTAAGATCTTCCTTAAGATGTCTATGAGCATCAACGTTTGCTCGTCAATTTAATTTGTGATTACTATTCCAATTTCGTTAGAACTGTTTGGGATCGTTTCAAGACTGAAAGTTAAATTTGACGCGCAATGTGTAGGTGATTGAATTGTATATTATTTAAACATTATATAGCTTAAAAAACTGTTATTCCCATTATTGATACAACTCGAGTTTACTAACGAGTATAGTAGTACCGAACCAGAACGTTGATAGTTTTTGTTCCGCACGCGACGCTATTGTCACGCGGTAATTGGAAATTTACGTTCAAGCGTATTTTATGCTGTCGTAACATCATCGGTTTTCGATACTAGACAGTTAGGATGAGTGATGTGGTCTCTTTTTTGTCATCCCCTTGACCGGAATTGGGGATATTAACCCCTTGCATTCGGTGGGTATCTCGCTTAATCTAATTGTTGCTGACAAAGCTGATATATCATAATCTTGATTGAAAAGTTGATACATGTATCATAAAAAATCGCAATAAATTTACCAGCCTCTAGTATATATCCTTAATTTTGAGTTATGTATTAAAATGTCAATAAAAGATTGTACATCACAGTTGACCACTACTTTCGAGACATTAATCGTGAATTAAGAGATCGCTGTGATTACAACTTTTCCATAAGATAAATTACACCGACTTTCGCTTTTCCACTTCTAATCCGCAAAGTCCAGATTTGCGAGAGACAGTAGTTGCTTTATTGAGTTCTTAGTGGCAGACATATAACATATCGATAAAGGCACGACTATATATCTCGGCAAAGGGAAGACAGTCATTAATGAGACACTTTCTATCCGCCATGAGTACAACCTCCTAGATAAGCAGCTGGATACAGCGAACTATTATACTATTCCGAGCTCCTCGAGACCTCGTTACATTACGAATGAGTACAAAGCTGCAATATCTCTCTCCCACCCTCTCTTTCTCTTTGTCTCTCTGTATCTATATATCTCTGTTTCCGTCTCTGTTGTGAAGCTGTCAGGGAGTTGTAATCTGTTACAGCCGATGATCTTTGACCGCGAGTTTGCGCGATTACAGAATGATCAGCGCCAAGTTTTAGTATGTTGAAAGTTCATTTGGAAGAATGATTCGATTATGAGTTTGATTAACGCGTTTGGTTCCCTTAGATATATTATAAAGTATCTTACATGCAATAAGCAAACAGCGCCTTATCAATAGTATTTCCTGTACGTTTTCCAAATGACACTCGGAAAAGATAATTACACTAGAGATTTAATAACAATAGAATTATAAATCTTGGGAGAGCCAAGATGATTCGCAAAGTGAGAAGTAAATGAAATTACGATGCGGAAGCCTCGCTCGCATGTGATTCAGCGACGCGTTGCGACAAGCGGTCGTTTTATTATCGAAGTATAGTGTGAGATCATGTTTATAAACGCAGCCCACGACGATGGGGAATCATCAGTTTCTAAAATTAGTATATACGACCGATCATAAAAACAACGGCGGATTTTGGGGTCCCGGGAACGAGCTGAGAACTCGTACTTTGAATGATTTTCCAATTTCAGCAGATGTTGACGCCTAGCCTAATATCAAAGCCAAAGTAACGATGTTTAACATATGGGATAGGAAGATGAGATAAAAAGGTGGGTTATTAACATTCCACATGGAGAAGCAGACATTAAAGCCCCAAAAAATATACAAGAATCTTATAAGATCCCTATTTTGTAGCTTTTAATAACAGTAACGGTATCATTACCGTCATTAATAGTTACAGAATAAGAATCTCAATGTTGTTTTTAAAAGTTTACATCAAATTTATATTTTTGAAATTTATTACATATACAAGATATTGTATGTAGTTTCATCAAAATTAATTGGTACCAATTAGATGGCACCTCTCGAAAATAAATTTCACAATTTCCAGAAAATGGCGCCGTCAGGTTTAGCGGATTTAATCCGCGCGATACGCGGCCTTGCGATACGACGTAATAACTCTACGTCCCAACGACAGCGGAACGCAGCTGTAATGGAAGCTGAGTTGGAATGAGCGCGGGAGTTAGCTTAATTGCGGCTTCGTTAAAGAGTCAGCTAAATGGTAGGGTTTGTTGCGTTTTCAAGGCGGCGGAATGAATGGGGGAGGGGGCGAAAATAGGCAGACACAAAAAAAGACAAGACGAAGATAAGAGACGGAACTGGAGAGCACAGTTAGTCCTTTTACACGACGACGAAGAAGGAAGCAAAAAGTCCAAAGAGGACAGAAACCCCGCGATTAGAGTCCCAAACGTGACGTTGAACCCGTCTCGAACGCGACTTCCGGACTCTCTCGAATCGGAATGGAATAAGATTAATACAAGGCGACTCTCTGACCGGCGACTACACCTACACACGTGTGCAAGGTGTATATTTAACTGTGGTATGAGACGAGCGAGCGAGTCTCGAGTTTGCGTCGTACTAAATCGAGATACCTATAGGAATAACGAAATATTTTTGCCTCGTTCTCATTAAATATTCTGAAAAACTCAATGATTAAAAAATAAAGAGAAAAGATAATTAAAAGCTAAACGAAATGAGGCTGCAGTATTCCATCTTTTTTTATCAAAATTACAACCAAGATTATTTGAAATAGCAATAGGAAAGAATAAATAAAAAAAACAATTAAAAAATGACGTATAATTCCTATCGATTTAATTCCGCGACAAACATGAAATATTATATTATAAATGAAAAAAAGAATGAATTGCGGCTATATAAATTGTCTCAATTATTCAGCCGTCGGATGCTGGTGAATTATGTTTTTCTGGAGCTGGATGTCGCGTGAGATATTTTGCATACTCTTGCATAACTAACTCCAATTATACATATACCGCATCCTCGCCAAGGAAGTTTGACTCGCAGACTCCAGCTCCGCTTGCGAAAGCTCGAATGGCGGCGGCCTCCTAAATTACATCCCACAGCTTGCGATGATGATTCATCGTCCCTAAACGCGAGCAAACGAGCGTGGGATATCGGCCGCGTTCTGTTTAACATCTCATCAAACAAACCGAGAAACGATGCAGCCGCCGAAAATCTCTGGTATGCTGCAGTAAACGAGATAATCCTCCTCACTCAAAGTATATTATAAAAGCAAAGAAATAAAATCCGAAATGTGAGTCCATTATGCAAGCTCATGAAAAAAAGATGTCATAAATCGGAGATAATTACATGCAACCTATGGAGGTACAAACCATTAATAAACATTAGTGAGTTAATATTGCTGACTTGTCACACTTAAAAAAGTTGGCAAAATGAAAAGAGTTATAAATGAGTTTATCAATATTCATTAATTATTTATAAAAGAAAGCTTACTAACAAAAAGTATAATAAAAGAAATTTAAGAGAATTATCTTGACTTAAACAAATAACTTTTCGGAAACAATTCTATACAATCCAATACAAGGTTTTTGCGTGCGAATCAGAAAAACTAATAACATTTTGACGAAAAGCTGTTTTGCGCAGAAAATAAAAGCCACTCTCATCTTTCTTCTCGATGAAATTTTTTCGGCGCAGCACGAATCGAAACGAAAGACGCTGCTTCGGCGAAATCTAATGCGATAAAGCAAATGTTTGTTAAAAGCGAAGGAGGGAAGAGGGATCAGATACGTAATTCTCAGAACAGCGATGTTGATTGGCGGCGAACAGGCCAATAAAAATACTCGCGGTTATACACCGGAGAGAAAAAATTACAAATGATCTCTATTGATAAAGATTATATGGGTTACCACCCACAAAGATCTCTTGTTTGTAAATTTTAATGTTACATTTCCTTATCTTCTGTGTAAAAGAAAATGCAAACAATGCGTAAAATTAAAGAGAGATGCACGTAGGACAATAAAAATACTTACTGAGAGACTAGAATTCTAGTTAATGCAACCAGATTATTTTCCCGCAACTATTCAAACAAAAATTTATTGAAATTTAATACATTTTTCTCTCAGTGTACGAAGAGAAAAAAATTTATCTCTATATAAATTATCTTTATTAATCAAAATTATATTTACAAAATCTACAGAGATCTCTTGATTGTATGATAAATTAATAAAACTGTTTTAATTTTAGATTTTCTTGTTTTCTATATACAAAAATGTAATCAATGCGTAGAGCAAGAGAAATATGCGCCAAAAGCATGAGACAGAAGGCAAGAAATATGAAATAAAAGCTGTAGGTAGGTTGACGGGTAAGAGGGGTCCTGATATAAAATGCAATTAGGTCGCATTACGCGAGAATGACGTGGCGAGATGCGGAGTGAGAGTGAAATTTAATTAAGAGAACCGAACTGGTTTCCGTCGTCGCTGCTGCGCGGAACCGGGCCAGTGCGCTGATTACGAAGAGGCAACAGAAATGACGCGGGAGTCATCGGTGTTGTCGGGTAGCAAACTCTCGTACAAGAATGAAATTACATCGATTGGTGAAGTGCAAACATCTAAAGTCTGATTAGACCGTGCGAATATGCACATAGCTCTCGAGAGAGGAGGAAACCAACGTGTCGACGAGCGATTGCAACAGACGAATGGCGGCGGTGTGGGATGAGATGAAAGTGGAATTAAATAAAACTGTGAATGAGAAGCGGTTTGCTAACGCTAGTGTGGGATGACAGTGGAAGCGACGGGATCAAATAAAATTACGTCAAGCTATAAAAAGAGATTCTTTCAAATATCCAATAATATTAAAGTAGTTTTTTCATCGGCAAATAAACAACTTGCAAATCTGTGAAAAATACAATACTGTCGGCTGAAGATAGCTTAAGGATGATAATAATAAACGATCAATATGTGAAATAATTAAGATAAAGTTTTCGATGTAAATACTGAATCAGAGATCAGCGCGCGATGCACGTTCGAAAAAATTAATTACGGATCATTATATGACGAGTATCATGACCCATAATTAAAAATAATCATAAATCGCATAAAAACGCATTATCGATCATGAAACAATTAAAAAACAACATGTAAATTGTTCGAGTATACACATTGCACAATATATCCATACTGCGTAACCAACAACTTGTTGCTCTTGAATATCCTAGCTCGAGACAAAGTAATGGTACTCTACATCTCAAGAGAATATTATCTAATTTATTGAAAGTATAGAATAAGAGCAATTTAACGAGACACTGTAGCTTTCAATTATTCGGAAATTTTATCAATGTACGTCATAATTATTCTTAGCGGACATCTCTTAATCCTCCATAATATTAGCTCAACAAAGAGATTTAATCTCCACAAATATATTCTATTTAATTTTTACAACTTACCTGACACTAGAAACACTTCTCTGAATGTCCACATTGTTCCTCCTGGCGGCCTCCTCGAGAGTAACGACCTCCTGGCGTCTTCTCTCCTCCTCGGGCGGATGCAACGGTATGATAATATAGTCCGGCTCCTTCTTCTTGGCGGTGGCCGATTGTTGTTCTTCCTGCGTTCTCGTCGTCGGTTCGATAGTCTTTTTATGTGTCTCCGAACGCGGTACTTTTGCTCGACCGCTGAACCTCAGTCTGGAGAATCTCTGCAGAAAGCCGCCCAGACCGCCCTTTTTCCTTTCCTCACTCTTCATGGCAACGCAGGACGAGGACGTCGGTAGAGAGGTTGAAGAAACCGCGTAAGTCTTCGCGGGTTCCCTCTTCGGGGCAACAAACGATGACCGTTTCGCGTTCGCGTCCTGTTTGTTGATGCTCGCCGCGCGTTGCTGCTCGTCGCCCTGACGTTTGTCGCGATCACCACCGCGATGATTCGTATCAACTGCCGCCACGGCCACCGCGAGTTTCCCACTACTACGTTCACCGAGTGAACCCGCATCGTCGGGTGGGGACTCAGAGCCAACACCGCGGACACTGTGTCCCTCCTCCTCTACCTCCTTCTTTTCTACCGCCTCAATCTCGTCCCTCTTTTCTTCCTCCTTCTCCGCTTCTTTCTTCGTCGTCGCTTGCTTCTCGATCACGACCCTCCACAGACGTTCGCCGGCGCCTCGATCGCTCGAACCAGGACTACGGGAACGATTTTCGTGGTCTCGATTCGATGGTGTGTTCTCCGAGTTCGCTTTCCACTCTTGAACCTTGCTCTCGTCTGCCTGAGGACATTGCCGAGGAAGCTGTATCACTCGTTCCGGATAAAACTCGCTGATGAAAGTCTTCTTTACATCTCCACTCTCATCTTCTCTTTGTTTGTTGGATGATTCTTCGTCGACATAGGAGGGCACCGTCGAAGAATTTTCAAGAACACTTTTCAACTGAGTTGGGTTCTCCAATTCAACCTTCTCGCGCAAAACGACCCTAGTTTCCAAGCAGGATTCTCCTATAGGTTTAGTTTCCAAGCAGGGATAATCTACCTCGTCATCTAGCAGCCGTGGACTTAGCACATTAGCATCGCCACAAGCTGAAAATGGATCCGAGTTTTTTTTTATCTGACCAAAGAACGAGTCGTTCTGCGGCTCCTTCAGTCTGGAGTCCTCGCTGATGTTCGTATCAGATCCCATTTCGCGCATCACGTCGGCGATATTTAACTTTGAGGAGCGTCCGGATGCTGCTTCCTCTAATTCGTCGCACGCGTCCATTCGATGGAAAGCTTTTGAATTCTTCAACCCCTTGATGTAATCACATTGTTGCGCCAATTCGTAGCTGGCATTGTTCAGCATCCGTTTCTTCCCAGCAGAGTTAACTCCGTCGCGATTTTCATCATTATCTTTGAGTTTTCTTTGAAAATTTCTCTCGTCCACCTCAAGTTGTTGCGCCAACTCATAACTGGCATTGTTCTTTACTCTTCGGCTTTTCACTCGACCAGACGGTGTTCGCTGAATTGTCTCCATTGCCAAAATGGCGGCGTTCGCCACTCCGGAAGCGGCCGCCTCCTCCACCTCGCGCTTAAATTGCTTGATGGCTTCGTCGAGGTCATTCTCTGTCACCATCGCTATATCCAGCATACAGTTAGCGCGATCTTGAGTCTTCACAGTCGATGTCTTCGCTTGTTTGTTGCGAGTCTGCTGCGTCTCGCAACGATCGTTCGCATGTTCGATCTTTGTTCGTTCATCGTTTTCTTTCTCGAGATCCTCCATATTGTCATCCATGAGCGCGCCCTGAGCCGGTTGCGTTCTGACTGAACTGGTTAAGGCAATCTTCGTTCCCACTTGCATTTCATCATCTTCTTTTAAAATAATATCTTCTTGTGAGTTTTTCAGGGTCGTAGCCTCATCACCAGGCTCGGTCTCCGCCATTTCTCGACCGTTCATCTCGTCGTCGCACATAGCGGCGACGCCGCAGAGATTTAGGTCCACCGGCACGCTAGCCACCCGTGTGTAGTTCTCAAAGAGAGAAGACGTCGACACGTAAGAGGTCGTCCTCGAGGTATGAAGACGAGACGATAAAGTGCAGCTTAGGTCGCTGCGTGCTGACTCTTCAACACCATCGAGTAGACTGGGCGCGCTCTGCGATTTGTCCGTGAATCTAAAATTAAAACGCTCCTCGTCGCTCCACCCTTGGTATTGCTGTTGGCGGCGACGACGGTGGTGGTGGTGGTGGTGGTGATGGTGATCGTGTTGATCGTACTGCTGCTGTTGGTACTGCTGCTGTTGCGGATGCTGCTGCTGCTGCTGCTGCTGATGATGATGATGATGCTCCGCACCGCCGCCGGCTATATTTAACCTAGCCGTCTTTTGGCCGGACTTAAGCTCCAAAAGTGCGTCTTTCTTCGTCTCCACGCCAATCTCCCGCAAGTCGATCGTGTTCCGATAGTCCAAGGACGTCGCATATTTGCCAGATTCACCGTACAACAGCCGATCCTCGAAACCTGTTGTCAACCGGGAATCTGCGTTCGTTCGGCTTCGTTCGTACTGCTCGAAATCGTATTCGTCTTCTTCTTCGTCGTCATCGTCTTCATATTCCTCGTCCTCGTGCCAGAAGTCTCTGTTTATAGATGGACATGGACGAAATATTGAAAAATCTACGTTATTCCTTTCTTCTATTTATTCAGTACAGATGACGAAAAACATCGGAATTTAATGTAAATATAGTATAAATATTAATCGCGTTTATTAAAAATTTTACATTTGTAATATATGTAAGTTCCTAAAAATTAAACCGCATTCTTGATGTGTATACAAAACACCACGCACTTAAGAACCAACCAAACGGCAGTGATCTGGCGATTCGGTAATGCGTTTGTGTTTCAAACGTTTATAATATCGGCAGTAAAGTCAAGGTGGTCTTCCTCAGGGTCGCGATTGCATTTAACTTGGCCGTAAAACGATCGTCACGCGAAGGGGAATTCGGCATACGAGTGCCAAGAAAACCATGAAGCATTCAACACCCAACGCGAACGGTTATTAAATGCACACATACATTGTTTAATCCTTTTTTCGGGTTGAAACAGAAGAAGCAATTGCGTTTTCTAATTATTTAAAATGTAAACAAACAATTAATCTAATGTATATTGTGTATTTAATTATTGTTATATATCATTTTCTATAGTTAATTCATTGAGAAAATAATACTAACTGTATTAAATAACTGTAAATTAATTTTTAGTATCTTGTTTAAAATTTAATATGTATTATAATATATGTATTCCATGATAGGTCAAAGAAAAAAATTTTTTTTAATAAAAATAATATATTGCTTACAAGAAACACAGATAAAGAAACATAGATAAAATATTTATTTTACGATTATTCACGATAATCAGAAATGCACTTACCGCAAGTCCTCGCAAACTAATTTGGGAAACAATGCATGATTACAATAGTTTTGTACCTCTATTCTAGCAACGCGTGTAAAAATAGGCAGGCGCGTGTTAAACAGCGAGTGCACGTATGCCAAGAATAACAAATAAAAGCCTTGGTAGCGTCTGTTGGAATTACAACGCGGGTGGACTAACTGTGTTACGTTGGAAATTATTGCACACACGAATGAGAAAAATTGCTCGAGAGTAATGTAAGATATTGAAACTTGAAAATTCAATAAGAAACATGCAACACCCTATCATCAATCCTTCCTTAAAATTACTAAAAATTAATAACTTTCTACTGCGATAAACTGCAATATATTTTTTATGATTCAAACAAAAATGTTCCATGTAAGATTTTCATTTGTCAGAGATAACACAAAATACATAGCACAGCTAGCACTATATAACATGCTCATTGGTCTAGACTAAAACCGTCTAGACTAATGAGTATGTTATATAAATCAATATAACGACTTTACATTGAATGCTTATTGAGACGGTCTTATATTATGCTATGTTATGTTCATGCATTTTGTATTACAATTTTTAACCAGCTTAACGTAAAAGGGTTTTGGATTTAATATGACATACGTGTAACTTACCTTGGACGCTGATTGTTTTTCCTAATATTCGATAGATCAGCACCCCTCTTCAGGTACAAAGGCGCGAAACCATTCGACATGGACGCTTGGCCGAAGTTGTCATCCTTCTGGCACGTGTCTAGACTTTCAAAGCTGCGGTAGGGTCTGATCTTTGGGAAATGGTCCGCCAATGTGCTGGCGAAACCGTTTGGTAGCAGCCTATCATAGTCCTGTTCCAAGCTATCCGGCGAATCGTTCTCCGGATGGGAGGTGTTCGATCGGTTGGAATACTCCAGGGAATCGAAGCTATAGCTGGAAGGTGATAGCGTGGCGCAGGTCCTCTCTAAGGATTCGAACTGCAACAGCGAGCTCGATCTGGAGGAAGTTGTAGACCTGGAGGACCTCGGTGACGCCGGATACTCGTCATAGATCGTCACTTGCTGTTGCTGATGATGATGGTAATGATGATGATCGGTGCCATGGTCGCGACGGCGTCGCTTTTTCGGCACCACTGAGTTACACTCGCTACCGCTACCATCCAGCCGCTCGTCTTCCGAGAATAAAACACGATGAACATGACGCTGACGATAACGGGAGGCATGCAAGGACTCGAGAGAATAAAAGCGAGACGAACAAGCAAGCGCATGGCCTAAACCTACTTTACTTGGAATCCAGATCTCGCATGTTACATGTTACTTTTAATTCTATACGAATCTCGTTAGGGTAGACAGAGATGGAATTTGATGCTTGACGACCCACTTCGTAAAATCGAGTCACGGAAGTGATCCAATCTAATGGTCGTTGCTTTCACCCCATACACATACATATACACACGTAGGTATGTCCGTCAGGAAGCCACGGTTCATTCAACCGGAAGCAGCGCTTACGGCATTACGCGCTTACGGCATTACGCGCTGATCACCATCGGTTGTCAACCGAGACGTAATAATTATCGCGTGCGACGAGAATCGTGTCGATTATCGTCGATCTAGGTGTAACGTTCAAGGTGCAGTTACATCACCATGATATGAGGAGAATCGCTACTCGTTAAAATTCCGCATTAAAATCTTGTGGAAAATCAAAATATACGCTTAGAAAGAAGTTAACCATCTATTATGCAAATTTTTTCTCAATTAGAATAATAAAGACGTAAATTATTTTTTATACTTTTTCTAGATATTACAGTTTTTTTTAGATATTACAAGTTCCTTAATTTTATATCAAATGATTTTTATTATAATATATTAATTTGTAAATAAATGGCCGTGTATTATTTTACTAATTGTGTTTCAAAAATTTAAATTACGTTATATCATTTTTAATAACAGCCGTTTAATCAAATAATCTAGTAATACTAATTGTAAGTCAATATTGAAACATCGAGTATTCGTGTTCATAGCTTGACCTTTAGAACTCCTCGATTAATATATAAGTTAGATACATATTCTGTACACAGCACGTTATTTCGATCGAGCGCAATACATTTCTCGGCAAACAGTACTAGAAGGAATATTGCATCGGCAGCAAAAGGTCGCGCGTGCTAAGAAATAATTCCACTGGTTATATTTGTCATTTCATCGAATTCCAACAGTTTCAAGGAAGATAGAGAGAATAAAAAAAGTGTTAGCAAAATTTCGTTCAATGAAATTAAATATTTCGATGTCATCGAGCTATTTAGAATTTTTTTGACTGTTCTTTGCATTAATGTTAAGTGCCTTTTGCAAATGTTTTGTACTTTCAAACACAAAATCAGTTGTAATACGAGAACATACAGGCCCCTACGTACTGCAACCACGTAACTACAGCGTGTTACAATGGTTGCGTATTCAAAGGCGCATTCAAGAGCACGTGGGTGTGATAATATCAACTTGTAATTCACAAGTCTCTTATTTAAATTAGATTTAAATTAGAAATTAAATTACTTTAACGATAACTCAAAGTTAGAAATCTTAAAATAAAATTGATTTTACATAAAAAAAAAAATAATAAAAATATGATAATAAAATTCTTGAATTAAGTCTCCTAATCTTTTTGATTTTAAGAATTAATTTTATAGTCTCTTGACTATATATACATTTCTACTTATAGCAGTAATTAACTTACGATTTACACTCGGATTTACAGAATTTATATTAGATTTTTCGAAAAAGCAAGGCATAAAAACGAAAAGACATTTTATTCGGGTAATTGACCTCGATGGCGTAAGCGCGAGTAATCGTGACAAGTAATCGCATGTCCGACGAGGTAATTCTCGGTTCCTTAATGAGTTGGAAGATTAGGCTGCTGAGAGGAAAGAGAAAGTAGAACAACTGCACGTAAACAATGTCTAAGTAATTCCCGCGATCTTCGCCCCGAGCGACAAACGGGATTTCACAAAATAGTTCTCGACGTACAATTCCACCGTGTAATATCGCTCAAATGATAGTGACTACATTACCTATGTATATCCGTGTTGAGAGTACGAGATCTTACCTGCCGATCTCTGCTTCGTCTTGATATGAATCACGCTCTCAGTCTCAGAATCGGACCCCAGCCAATACGTCGTTCCGCTACGATCGGAGTCGCTTTGGAGATCGTCGGATGTCTCCTCCAGAATCGTCTCGAGAAAATCGATTTGTTGCACTAGCATCGTATCTGTAAAACAAAATGTTCACATTAATATAATCGTGAGCTTGTTAGAAACAAAACTTGTTAAATCTATAATGCTATATAAAAATAAAATAGAAAGACCGAAGAGTTTAATATAACAAAAAAGTAATTTAAATAATCTATATTTCTATTAATTGTAACAAATTGCACTGCATCTTTTTGATGAGTATATTATATATATAACTCTTATGTACTTGAAGTTAATTAGAAGACCTGTATTTCCTATATTTTATCAATTGAATTGCACGCAAATGATAGGTTTGAGTTAAACGCATTTTCCACGTGCACATCGTTCTTTTACGTTGATCAAATTCAACGAAGCGTAAAATTGTAAACTCGTTATTTGTGCTTCGTCATTTCGTCGTCGAAAGTGCAGCAGCTGCTTGTTCGCAGAAGCGCACTAGCAAAATTCTTAACGAAAAGGTCATGACTCATTTCTTATCGAGTGCAACCATTACGTTGGAAGATAACGTAACTGGAAGGTCGTCCACCTCTTGAGCTTTCGTCGTCGATCAAAGCCAGCTCGAGACATTTCGGGACTGCATGTGCATGCTTTCTGAGAACTATCGTCGTTTCTTGATAGGAATCAGCACGCAAAGTTCATTTTTTCTTTTAGAATCTCGATATATCATATCCTTTGAAGCTCGCATAACACATAACATATAATTACTGGTCTAATGTGTGTGTGTATGTGTGTGTAATTAAATTTAATAAACAAAATATTATTAAGAAGTATTTAGAGATATCAATTGATAGAATATTCGATTATTTATCGGCATATCTAATCGGAAATAAATTTCTGTTTTAGCTCCAAAGTAAAACGTGTCTAATGATAGCAAAATAAAAATTACTACAAACATTACGGCAATGAATTTAATAATCATAAAACAGCTACCTTAAACGAAAAACGATGTACTTCGAATGTAGGAACGTAAAGTACGTTCCTGCCTCTTCGTCATCGTGCGATGAATGATGGCGTGAACAGTTAGACGCTGCTGGGAACGGGACATTGCATAGTTGCACGGATAGAATACATTCGGTGCACTCTAGCTGCAAGCGATTGCTTGCTCTCTCATGGAAAAGTCAAACGCTATCTTACCCTTTCATCTTACTGAAATAGTTGCGTAACATTACGCATAAGCGGTTGTAACATTTGCATTGTATGCTTCCTCGCGCTCGCATCACGCGATACCGCAATTAAAGAGGAAGAACGTATCCAAATTAGATGTATTTCCGCTCCGTATCTTCTGATCGATTTCTATACTAAAACAGCTATTTTGCTGAATAATCTAAAAATTCATATTTTATAATAATCTAAATACAAAATCTAAATATATATATATATATATATAATAATTTTGACCATAAATAATTTTGCTGGAATCTTAAGCAAGATGAACAATGCTGTAAAATGTTTTGATATTCTAGCAACCAATTTTGTCCTACCTAATTTAATGGTCCAGCAAAATTATTTTTTAGATTTGTATCTAGCTAAATTTTTAGATTTTTCAGCAAAATTACTCTTTCAGTATAAAACAAGACGCAAGGAAACACATGGCTGTGAGTGAAAAACCAAGGCGATCGTTACGAAGCGAATAGTCGAATAGACGAGGGCCGAGGTCGAGGCTTTCCTGAGAGATCGTATTGTAATAGTCCACAAGTGGGCGACGATAACGCTATCAAATAAACTTTGCACATCTGCATCAAGCATGCTCGAACGCGATCTGCAGACTGACAGTCAGCGTGAGAAATAATAATGAATGGTACGAGAAGAGTCGGAGTATATCCTTGAGCGAGAAAATGTCTTTGAAATATATCGTCACAGATCAAGCCGAGCGTTTTTTTTTAGTATCCACATACTTCATTATACTTAATTATGTTATAACTAAGCTATATTACGTTCTTGCACGCGCGCAGTCTTGATGAAAAATATAAACGATCGAGAGGCACTCGAGAGAGATCAATAGAAAACATTAATCATTGTAGTTCGCGCTTGGTTATATGCGAATCTAAGACGTATGGCATGATCGGCACGCTCTGAATCATGGATCAACCAATTAATCCCAATAATTATAAAGCCGGTTTATTCGAGTGACGCAATAAGCGTTTACGTGGGGAAGCACCTGATTTCCGCCACACCTAGGATCACCAGAACAGACACGCTCGATAACTGACATTGCATGCATACGAGAAATTACATTTGCCTGCGTTAATTAAGACTGGATTAATTTCGACGAAGTCGTTGATCAATTTATGTCCATTACTTTTATACCAACGCAAATCAACTTTAATCTCTTAATTGGTTTAATTTACTGTTTATCTTCTTCTAATTTTAAAAAATTAGCAAAAGAAAAAAAAACTAAATTACCTCGAGATTAAAGTTGATCTATATTGGTAGAAATGGACCTTAGAGGAAAATTAAATTCGTTGTAAATTAGTCTCATTAAATTTAAAGAAGAACAATGTCCTCTTTCGCGAATGTTATGTTCTGTTAACGATGCTGCGGAATTTATTCCCCCATGAACGTTAGATATGGAATAAAATCACGCATATCGATACGTCATTAAGTGGAAGTGTTTTTTTTTTAACTGCAAGAGCTCATAACGTTTGCGAGAGCGGGTCGTCAGGCCGCTGAAACGCAATTTGTCTTGCACGAGTGCGGAGGCACGCACCAGTATGCAACATCATGGCGGAGCCACCTGTTGCAGTCGCCTGCCTGTTGCCGTTCCATGACTAACGGACGAGAATAAACCGATGTAGCTTACATAAAAATAATCAGCCGGACTAGCGTCTTTCTAGAGGCCTCCTAGCGGAATATAGCAATATTTATGATGTATGAGTTCGAGAATAGGAAGATACTCTCTTATTGTTAGACTACTTGGCACCAACATGTTTTAAGCTTTTCTAAATTCTTTGTCTTAACCCCATCAAGAGTCAGAATAATTCGCTAAGAAAATTCTTAGATAACTCAAAAAATTAAATTTTATATTAAAACTGAAAATAAAATTCTGCAATTTCCGCATTCTGCGTAACGGAATATTCATTTTATCGTTATGAATAATATTTTACGGTACAATAATTTTAAGTATATATATTTTACTTTCTATCTTACAATTAGATATAAAACTTTCTTTATTTCAAACCGGTCTTTCAAATGATAAATAAATTAACCAGAGCGCGGATAACTTTTCTCACGCTATATACTTGACTAATCTCCTTGCTCACTCTCCATTTCGAACTTCGTGTTTGTTAGTTTATTGGCTTGCTAATCGATCCACGTTAATTCATGTGACAAGAAACTTAAGCTACCCTTCCCACACTGTATCGATCGGTCATTGTTATTGTTATCTGACCTAATTATAGAACATCCAAATCGAAACTTTTAACACCTCACTATAGAATATTAGGAGACGCGGTAGCGTCTCCGGCCATGTTCAAAAACTGAGAGACGCTACAAGTCTCTTATCCCGAGCCACCAAAGACCATATTTGAGAGGTACTGATATACCCAATGCAATTGTTTATCATTTTTTCATAAAAATAAATATATTGTAAAAAAATTGTTTCAATCAAAACGACAAGTATTAAAATCATAACCTTACTAGTATAAATGTATGTGTCTTTATTAATAAAAAAAATTTATAAATAATGGAAAGAAACATTCGAAAAGTTTGTTGAACGTTGGGAAAAAACTGGTTCTATTGAAAAAAATTTACCTATTTTAATATATATATTTCTTTGAATAATTCTAAACATTTTTAACGTCTTATAAATTATAGCGGAACAAAGTGAGCAGAATTGATTTTAACTAACATTTTTATTTGTTGCTTATTTATTGCTAACAAGTTGCCGAAGAAAAAAAATTTATAATTTAGAGTTCCGCTAACTTACATTTACTTACAATAAATAAATATTTTCTCAATAGAAAAATAACAGTGAAATAACATTAATGGTTTTTGTATCAAATAAATGTATGTATTTAGTAAATATTTACTTAGAACGATTAAAATATATTTATTAAAATTTAGTAGATATCTTTTAGTGTATACTGGAAAAATTTAATTTTTGTCACAAGTAAAATTTCTTTCAAAAATCTAACGTTAAAAATATTATATGATTGAGAAAGCACAAGGTAAACTGAAATCATTGTTTATAAACACGTAAAAAATATGAAGATCATTACTGTCGATTATATTATTGACCGTTACTATCAATTGGCTGTTTTCCGTGCTTGCGATTTCAAAACGATCGAACCTTGATCACGAGAATAACCGGTTGACATTGGTCGCGTGTTATGTCGGAAGGAAAAATTTTGCATCGCGCTTGCAGTGACTTCTCGGAGTCTTCTCAGAACCGCCGCCGCCGCCTCGTCTACTACGCTCTAGATATTGGCGACGAGGCCGATATCATTACCACGATTTCCAGCGGCTAGAAAACGGCTTTGCATACAGATCGCCTGTTAATAGCATGCTGCTTTCTACTGGAACGTGGGTGAGAGGGACGGACGCTGCAAAAACCGTGAGCGAGCTAAAATCACACGCGTCCTCGGAACTTCCGTAAATGCACCGCTCATATGATGATCATGCTTTATGATCAATCCTTCTGCCAATATTGACTTTAATCACGCATGATGTGATGTATTCTTTAAAATATCAAATGCCATAATAAACTTAAGATTTCTTTGTGTATAACAAATTAAGGTATTTGATTTATGTGTAAAATATATATGATCTTATGTTTTATATATAATAAATAATCAGAAATTTTACTTGATACAAGATGATTCAGATCTTTCGATATTGCATATAGATTTTTTAATGAATTCTATATGTATCGTAAAACATTTCCTTTCCCAAGCTACACGAACGTGTATTCGAATTGAAAGGGTTAATCGCTTAGCGTGACAAGCCGCGAATAGCGACCTAGATCACTATAATCGCGCTTAGATTTGCGTCAAAGAGTGATCTAACAGTATTCCAAGCTGTTGTTCTACGCCTGTTCTCAAATCGGAAATTCACACGAAGCAGAGAAGAAGAGAACTGATCGTTTGTCTTCCGCGTTCAAGATTTCCTAAGAGATTATTTCTACTCGCCGAGGCAAGTAATTGCAAGTTAGAAATATAAATATAAACGTGATGGCGAGACGTGATGAACGCTTAAGAAACATCAAATTTAAATAAATTATCTAAATATATGTTAATTAATACAAATAAAATTTAATTCTGAAATTCACACATTCGTAAACACTGAAACGTATGGTTAAAATGTCGAACAATTTTTTACGTGTTTTATACATATTAAAAAGTACATCGAAAAAAAATTTTCAAAGTCCCTAATACATATTATTTTGAATAATATTAAGTGAATCTTTTTTTTTTACTTGATAAAAAGTATATACTTTATACTTGATACAAAATATTTATTTACTTAGTAAATAAATATTTAATCAATAAAAAAATCATATAATTAAATAAAATTAATGATTTTTGTACGAAATCAATATATGCTTACATTTAGTAAATATTTGTAAAATTATTTCAAAAATTATTCTAAACAGTTACAATATTTAGAAACAGAAATTTATTAAAATTTAATGTGTTCACGTTAGAGATGTTAAGTACGAAGAGAGTACACAAGTATATAAAAAAGAACGGGAAGAGAGTGGGAATGTTAACGTATACGAACCATTAGCCCGTAGATCCTCCAAGTGCGTCGGCTGGAACTGGGAGTGATGCTGCAGCTGGAAACCGTAGGCCGGAAGCCAGGGATTCGGTCCGTTCACCAGGTCTATGTCGACGCCGGACTCGACGCAGTCCAGGGTCAAGGCCGGGTCTTCCTCCTCCTCATCCGTGGCGGAGATTACCGCGGAGACGACGGCAACGTTCGTCGGCGCGAGTGTCGCCGTCGCGCTCGACTCGTTCCCGCTCATCGTCACACGACGATTCCTCGCCTCGTCGTCCACGATCGGCACCGACGATCGTTAACCGCTCCGACGAACTGTGAACCCCCTTCTTCCCGCCTCTCCTTCATATCCCTCCGCTACAAATGCAGCACCGGAAGCCGCGCCGCTTCTTTCCAACCGGGGATATGGCGAACCGACCGACCGACCGACAGCGTCAGATTCGGCACGATTTCGGTTTGATCCAGATACGGATGTTGAACCCTCTTCCCTTCAATCTTGCACGCACTGGGGACGACTGAAACACAAACAGGACGATTGGCTTAATCAAGAGATTAAGTCTATTTTTAGATTTTTCGGAAATATCATGGGGAACATTACCCACGCCGTTATTCTATAATATATATATGATTCTTCGAGAAAGGATTTCGTATACTAATTGCGTGAAAAATTGAGTCCCAATGAAATGAGTTCATTTTCACATCCCTATAATGCAGTTTATAATATGACAAAATATATCTATTTATGGCTAAACCCTAAAACAGAGTTTCTCTCTAATAGACTCAATAATGGATAATTTCTAATAAATGTATCAAAGATGTTTTGTGAGCACAAATTTTACATCTTTGATACATTGTAACTCAAACTATCTATACTTATTGAACCTATATCTTTGTATACAAAAGATGTCATAGTGCTTTCTCATGTTCATTTCTACCAATGTAAATTAACTATAATCTCGGTGTAACGTACTTTTTACCTTTTTCACTACATTTTTAGCTTACTGTATGATAATATTATAAAGCTACATCGTATTTGAAAACTAACTCATTTCACCCAATTTTCTATATATAATTAGTGCAAAGTTCCTTTCTTTGGAACAGATTCTTTCTTCGCAAACATCTTCGGAATTTTTGTATCGCGATATTCTTGGATCAGTACGGTCGTTCAAGACTTCGCGATATCTTCCCGTTCGAATGCCTTGGCCTTTGAACTTTCGAGAGATTTAAGATGTCAGGATCTTTATAAGATCCGCCTAAAGAACGCCAAGACCTCCGCGACGTCTAAGAATGTTAAGACTTCTACATCCTTGACTTCCTTGAACCCCCGAGGCCCTCAAACTTTCTCCGATGGACTGGGATATGGACGAGAAGGAATTCGCGATGGAATCCGTTCGCGATTCATCCAATCGGGTGGGATCGCGAGTACTCCGAGCGTACTCGAGAGATGAAAGGGAGATACGTACCGCGATAGGGGCACACCTTAACGAGCGTGTGTACCCTGGGCGGGCGTTAAATATTGCCGCGGAGTTGCGGATTTACATGACACGTCGGCGAAGGGGAATCCTCCGCGCAGGTGGGAGTTACGTTTGTGTGTAATTGGATAAAGATCGGCTCAGGTCATCGCCCTTACCTTCCCTTACTCGTTGCCCCTTTCCCCTCGCGATTCCACGGGCGGCAGAAATTTTATTACCGCCGTATTTCTTTCGGCGAGGCAGACTGGCCGCGGCTTAAGGCCGATGCATACGGTGCGCTCTCGATCATCTTCCCTGATAAATCATCATAAACGAACACCGAGAAGAGCTTGAAAAATATATGAAAAAGAACTGAGACTGCTATAAACTACCGCTGAGAGTAAAAACTAAAAAAAATTTAGGAAAATTGCCTCATTATATTTCCTTGCCTAAAGCCTCGTATTCATGATACGGGAAATTACTCCGAAATCTCGGACAGGGAAAGAATTAATAGATCATATTTAAACAATTTGACTAATTGACCAGTATGAGTCATTAATTTTTCTTCCATCCGAAATCTTGAAGAGATTTCCAGCACCATAAACACAAATTAAGCTTAACCTTCCGGTAACATAAATTTCAACTCTTCCATTCAATAATAGGGATCTTCAAGAAACAGAACAATTTTTGTATTTTTTATTCCGAATTATATGAAAATCTAAAAAAATTTTGATATACTTGTAAAAACTTTAGCAACAAATTATTAGCATCATAAGAGTTGGATTGTATTTTACTCATTTTTTGCAGATTTAAATTTATCTATATCAACAAATTCACAATCAAAATATCGATAGGGCCTTTAAGATTCTAATTGCAGAGAGTTAACGTTAATAATACTGCAATGTCGGATGATACTTAATTATCTGGGATAATACACGATAAGTTTCGTTCGTACAGTAATGCATCCGCAAGTATAGGTAGAAAATTTCTCAGTCTCATCGCAGGAAATTGCTGCTTGGTGCACGTGCACATAGCTGCAACGATCATCGAGAGCGAGGTAAACAGTGCAAAGAAAATTCCTGGTCGATCCGTCTCCGCTTCCTCCATCCAAGCGAGAAGCGCAACGAGGCGCGAGAAAGAGTGCGCGATCGCCGAGTGCATTCCCGATCGAGATAATCCGCTATCGCCGTTCACACGGAACGCGCTGCAACAACGTCCTTGGAGAATTATTTCAAAAGCGTGGAAAGTATTCGCGCGAGATCGCAAAGGAGAACCGGAAACCATTCGCCGATAAAGGGGCAAAAGAGACACGTGACTCATTTTATATTATTAGAAAACTACGTCATTACATGTTTCAAGAATGCTTCGAGCGCATAGAGCGTCGCCAAATCGATCTTTTCTCTCTTTTTTTTTCTCTCTTATGACCATTTCCATCAATGTAGGCTGTAGACTAATTTCAATCACGGTTCAATTTACTCTTCTCACCTTTTTCACCTTTTTCTGCTGCTCGTTTCTATCAACGTAATTCGATTTCAATCTCAATCCATTCTTTATCCTTTTATAGTTCTTAGCACTAGAAAAACATTAAAAGCTTGAGACAACCGAAAAAGAAAAGAAATAGGAACAGGGTCTAACAGATTTCAATAAAGACTATTACCTTCGACAAATTCGAAGATCAGAAACTTAGAAAGAATTCAAACTTTTTCTTTTGAAGAGCTTCAAATCTTCAAAGTTGTCAAAAATAATAACTGCAGTCCTCACAAAAACCGTGTATTTTAGTACACGATGAAATGTATCATTTCTTATTCTTGTTGCTTATCAATTGTATTTCAAGCTTAAGTTGAACCGAGATTAAAGTTAATCTACATTGGTACAAATAACATTAATTGAAAAAAAAAATTTCTGATTAAATTAATAAAAAAGCCCAACAAGAATAACATTTTAGTGAAAAAAAACAAACAGAGTTTCCAGTTATTTGAGAATCCGAAATTCTGTTCGATCTTACTACTAGAACGCCATTCTTGCTCGATCCTTATCGATTTAATCAGAATATTTTTCTCATTTTACTGTTTACTACCGATTAACAAAGTAGAGCTTAATCTATCAAGCGTCGCGATTGTTCTAATCAGCCACTTGCTCCAATCGTGCATGTTATCGGAGCTTAGAAGATGCAGCGGAGCGTGAATATCGATCGAATATCAATCGTTCCAAGCGCCGTTCGCCGCACGGCGATAGACCGCGTCGCGAAAAAAAAAATCGCGACCGCGAGACAGGCGACTCCAAACTGCATTGCGCTCTCTCTCCGTTGCACCTTACGCATCACCGTGTATTTACGGCACGGGTCTGGCTACACGCGGACACTTTCACTTTACGTAACTTTATTCACGGCGACTTAGGGCGACGAACTTTGACTGCCTCGCACCGAAATCCCTCTTAAAATTCCGACGTCAATAAAAACTTTTTCTCTGTGTTTCTTAAATCGGAATCTACAGAAATATGCGATGGTTTCGACAGTGTCGAAGTCTTTCGACATGGTTTAGGATGTAAAATTTTACAAAAGGCTCGAGGAAGAACCTGAAATACAAAAAAAATTCTGAAAAACGACAGCTATTTAAAAGACTTTTACGTATTCAAAGCGTCACGACTCCAAAAATTCGAAGATTAATGACTCGCAAACAGTCCACAGGAGTCCCAAACGACCCTGAGGGAAACGAAATGCGAGACAGAGAGGTAACTGTCAACGCGGAGAGAAAAGGAGAGTCATATAGATAGGACGCGTAAACAGACACCATCGTGCAGCGCGCGCGAGAGAGAGAGAGAGAGAGAGAGAAAGAATTGATGTTTATTAAGCGCTTTAAGACAATCCTCTCGCGAGTGTACAACATTTACAAAAAGATGTAAAAAATAACTGTGTACAAAGTAAAACAAGATTTTATAATAACTTACTGTAAGCTATATATGTATATACAGTGTAAGTCGCGTGTGAGTGTGAAAGTGTGTGCGTATAAGAAAAAGAGAAGAGAGAGAGAGAGAAAGAGACGGAGGCCGCTGAGCGCGATGTAAACGAGGATAGAGAGAGGGCATGCACCGGAATTCTCTCCAAGTGCGACGGCGCGGAGAGGATCTACCTGTCAGCGTGCATTCCACGATCCCACGATCCGCGTGCGCTGTCGGCTCTCGGCGTGCACGTTTCCGTTTCGCCGAGCGTAAACTCCCCGTTGTCCGCCGACACACCGCGCACTCGCACTCGTTACCGCTCGGCGCGCTCACACTCGCACGAGTGCAACACACCGCGGCACTCTTCATTCGTCGTCGCACTCCCCTTTGTCGCGCGTCGTCGCCCACGGCGAGCGACGTCAAAGCACAAACCCGCGGTGACGTGCCGCGACGCGCGCGAATATGGCGCGCGCCCTGATCGCCGCGTTGATCCGCAACTTGGATTCGCGCACGCACGAAGCAGAACGCGAAGCGAGAAACGTGGCTGTGAAAAAATACGTCGAGGAAGATCGCGCGCGCGCTCGCTCGCGTGATTTCCTTCCCTCGCGAAGCGACTCGCCACTTTGCCTCGTCCTGTTCGCTTCGTATCTTGTTTTTGTTTTTGTCTCGCGACGCGAAATGACGGCGACGTACGCGCGCACAGTCACTCCAGACCGAACCGGAACGAGACACACGACTACTCGGCTTTAAGCACCGCGGGGTAAATACTACTACAACGAAACGCGCCGCTCTCGACCACGGCACAGCCGTGCCGGCCAATCCCCACCCGAGCCGCGCTACCACGTGGTAGGTGCGCAGCCAATCGGGCGCCGCAAAGTCCCTCAATGGCGACGTTCGTGAAGCCATCTGTTGATTGGATCGGACTCGAGAGAATTCGGCTGCTTCGATCGATCGTTCGATCGCGTTTGAAAATGTATCTTTCCTTTTAATTTCTTCTCGCGATTGATCGCGATAAATAAATAGATGTACGGATACATGGTTCTTTCGAAATCGAAACATGATCCAGAACATGACATGCCAAAATATTCCAGAAAACACTAACTAACAATAATATATATAATTATATATTATAAGATCAGTGTTACTTTTTTTTCAGTCCGAAGAATGAAATTCCATTCTTAAAGATTGAAAATTCTTTCCAGTTTCTACCAATGTTATTTAATTATAAATTTGATTCAACTAACTCTTCATCTTTTTTTTAATTCTAAAAAAAGTAGAAAAGATGAAGAACAAATTAAACCAAGATTAAAGTTAACCTGCATTGACAGAAAAGAGAATAATTCATTTTAAATAGTCGGATTTCACTCCAAAGAATTTAAAAAACATATCCACAAGTATTATATTATATTTATATTGTTGGATGTGAAAAAAATTGTAATATTGATGTTAAGTTAGTTAATATTTACTGGAATTGTTATTAACATTTATATCACCTTCATACGCGACCCGCAGGCACGTCCCGAGGTCGATTTCAAACAAACGCGCACCACGCTTACGCGACTTGAATTGTTAACGAGCCGCTTTCATGTTGCTTCTAATGAGATTCAATGGCGCATTGGTATCCCACTGCCAGTTGTCCGAATGAATCATCCACTCGTTACATCATTATTTACTTAACTCTTTAAATTGAACACATTTCTGATTAATTAGTTCTCGAGATAACATTTATTTTTGAAATAATCGATTTCTTGATGTTACTTACGCTTGTGTCACGTTTTGAGGAAATGGTACATACATACATCGATCGTCAATTGATCGTTCGCCACGCGATGCCTCACGGCGACAGCTTAAAACGTAGCATAGAGAGAACTTGATTCCATGACCGTGAATTTTTTTAACATTCGGTGTCGGTGACCCGACTTAGAAAAAAAAACCTATCCCGTTATGCATTCGTGCCGTTCACCCGAAATGCCATGATTCGAGCTGAATTTTGAAACTGGAAATTATTGAGTTCTTTTGACACTTTCATTATTTATCTCGCCTCATCTTAAGATGTCAAATCACCTTAATAGTGTTAAGGATTCAAAATTTTCTTTAAGTTAATTACTATATAGAATTAATTGTTATCGTAAGGATATATTATACACAAGTTGTAATATATACTAGTACTAAAAATCTATAGTGTACAGACTATAAAATTTCAGTACTGGATCTAAATTACAAATTCACCAAGTATTAAATATTTTAAAATGTAGACTGTGGAATAATTTTCTTCACCGCGGAAGGCAAGTTTCCACAGACGAGAATGGTGAAATCCAAAAATCTGAAATTTAAAAAAGTGAAACTTTTTTATTATATATGTTAATCTTTATGGGAAAGCCATTTTAAACAATATCATATTTTAAGGCAAAAAATACAATTAAATAATTAAAATAATAAAATATAACAAATTTTGTTAAAGAAAAAGCTGCAAGATTTAAAAAATACCTTTGAAAATTATTTATTTAGAATAATTTTTTTGAATTCGTTTTTTTATTTTAAATCATTCCAACCTTTAAAAGCCTATCATCTATTCGTATAGTAAAAGGAAATATTTCACAGCCTATACATTCTTTTATTAAAATCTACTTGGCATAATTCAAATATCATAATATATGCTTAAAATTAAAATGAATTCTACGTAGTTGACTTTGAAAATACATCTTGAATTTTATGTAACACAATAAATGATGTTTCGCGAATAATTCAAACAAAATGAGAGAGAGACTCATGGAAATTCATAGAAATTTATTACAACGCGCATTGTACGCGATTGCTTTCATTTGCTAATAGAATACGTCCAAGCGTTTCTATTCTGCTCACACATCCACAAAATCATACTTCTTAGTTGATGCCATTTCGTAAAAGATTGGAGTATGACTGTTGGCTGTAATGTTTCCGTTACTTAAAAAGGAGACAGTGAAACCATTAAGATTGGAAACTGGAAACTGTAGAATAAGTTGTAAATGCTTTTTCTTCGTAACAAATATCGGACTTTTTAAAAGAGCAGAAGAATCAATAAACTCGCTCCAAAGATCTTCATGGAGAGTATCACTTGACATTCGCAATATCGGATATCTCGAGAAGCAACATTTCTCACCTCGGTCTCTGAAAAATTTTTATTTACAATGGTATGAAACTAGCAATAAGTTTGATCAAAGTTTGTCAATTGAAAACTTAATGAAGTTAAATGATATATTTTGAAAGTAATTTCAATTTAATTACGCGATCTTCCGAAAATAATATGAAATCTCGAGGTCTGTCCTAGAGAAAAAAAAAAGAGAAGAAAATGTGATATTCTTTCTCGTCTTGACGCGTCCTCACCGTATTCGTAATATTGCGACGGTTCCGTTGATTCTTCCTCGCACTCCTCAGTAGTCGATTTGATCCTCATATCTTGTCTTTCACGTTCATCAGCCTCACCCCTGAATGGCACGTAACCGGATCTCGCAACTCGATTTCTATCGGCGACCGCGACCTAAAAAACGTGACAAGGGTTTCGGTCTTCAACACTAACCATAATCGTAGACCTCCTTGGGTTCCTCGTTCACCGTTTCTTCCTCATCCTGTTCCGCGGTCTCTTCGTCAATGTCCTCGTCATTGAGCTTATCCTCCTCACCGTTCTGATTTTCTTCCTCCTCTTCCTCTTCTTCCTTGTTCTCATCTTCGTCATTCTTCGCTGATGAACGATAAAGTCTGCCCTCGTCGAGCTTATTTCGAGGCTGGCGGTGTCCTCGTGCGACGTTATAATCATAGCTGCGATATACTTGCTTGGCCCTGCGCGGATGTTCGAGGAGACGCCGTTGCGGTGGCTGAATGAAACCCCCGTAAAAAAGGGGCTCTATATGTAATGCGCATCCGTGGATATCTTTCATAATTACGTCCGAAGCGGGCGATCTAGGAAAGTCCCAATAATTGAAACCGTCGCCAACAGTACGAATACCCGATAGAATTAAAAGTATGGATAAAAGAGCGGACATAAACATAGCCTGAGTCTTATCATCATCGATCATTGCACAGTAACATGAACATATACGCAATTAAACCAATTGCACGCAATCGAATACAATCGCTCGAAGTAATTTTGTCATGGACTACACCTATCTTCGACATGACTAAAAATATATGTTTCTATACCGTACAAATAGAAATATTTTATTTATTCTATAATAATATAATTTATAAAACATATTTTATATTTTTTGGCAATTATAATATATAGAGTATTTAAATTTGATAATAAAATAATTTTTTTAAACGATGTAATGAAAGTAATAATTTTTAAATCAATATAAATATGGGTGTATATACACACGCGGAATGTACATTCGACTTTAACATATGTATTCATAGATAGTTTTATATCCATTGCTCTCAAATCTAAGCAGGATTGTTCTCCAGATATGTTTTAGTCACAATGTCAGAGCGACATTGACTTAAATCTATATAATCCAAGCTGGTGCAACCCACCACTGGACATCTGTGAATGCAAACATAAATGGTATAATAGCACATCTCAATATATATTTGATATAATATAAAAAACATACCTAGTGTTCTTGTTCTTTTCTAACATCGCGACAAGGCTTGATTTATCGTATACGTGACCGCAGACTGCATTTCGTACAGGATCGGTCATTCTCATTTTCGTAATTGGATCAATCACATTTATATTGCTGCTTACCATCCGTAAATCAACGTCTGCATCATCTGGTATGTTAGATTCAGCTTCATTGGCTAAAAGAATTATGTTAATATCAGAAATAAATAAATGAAAATGGACCTTAAGTGATCAGCACTAGGATTTTATATTTATATTATAAACAATACTGCCTCGAGTATCCTCATGTTATTGTTATTATAGGATGATTAATTTTAATCTCAACAAGTAAATATTTAAAAAATAAACGATTTTACAAAAAAAAAAACATTCTTAATAAAAGTTGTCTGATACAGAAGGATATATACAAATGATATCCTCTTGTATACATTTATTTAAAATAATTGTTGGCAAAATTACATATTTTTATGTTTGTAAAGTCTTGCCTCAGATTGGTTGTATATTACATACTGCGGGACAACATCATTGTTTGCAACTCTGAGTAATTTTTAATTTTATATTGTATTGTCGCTGATGATGATCCGAAATGAAGGATTGAAACGTTCGACATAATATCTATGTTATAGATTTTAAGATTATATATTTTACGCACTGCTAACAGCGTTGACTCTTAATAGCCTTTTGTATTTACTTAATTTTTTGTATTGTTTTTCATGTTTGATTCTTATATTGCCCTTTCTTTCTTTGTTATTTATTTTTACATATTTACTTGTTAAGATTAAAATGAATCACCTTATATATGGCTACACAATAACAATGTGATACTGATACTGTTGTTAAAAAATAGTTACAAAATTCCTATATATATTGAGATTTTTCATTTCAGACTTTACCTTGATGTAGATCTTCAATTTGACGATCATAATGCAACAGTCTTCTATCTTCTAACGGATTAACTTGAATTTCAGATATAGCCTTTTTATATTCCTGTTACAAACAATAGCAAGCAATTATAAATTTTAAAAATTATACTACAACTCTATGATTTGAAACAGTCCTTACTGTTGTGATGTTTTTCACATCTTTTTCTTGGGGCCCAGACGTTTCCAGGTACTCTCTGATATCATCTGCATCCTTTATTCTAGCAGATTCCTTACAATTGTCAATTAAGGCTTCTCTTAACTGCTTCAATACATCTTGCCTCTCTTCGTTATTGTCTGAAAATATAATGTACAATTAACAAAACATCTTTTATTTTCTTACGAGAGAAAGAGAGAGAGAGAGAGAGAGAGAGAGGGAAAGAGGGAGAAAGAAGGCACATTTGTCTTATAATCTTTCTAAAAAATCACGATAAGTAAAGCACTTTGTGTATCTCTAATTTTCTGCACTTGAAGCAAGACACAAAGAATAAGAAAGATGTAGAGAGAAGTACTTGAAAACTTCTGTTTCTAATCTCTACGAAACTTCGGTACAATACATATTCCTCGCTGTTCTCACAAAATAATCGTCAAGTTTCTATACTGAACAACACGCAAATAAAAGAGACGAGCAAAAAAAAAAAATGCGAAAAGAATCACTTAGAAGATTCCGAACGTATTTCTAACCTCTCTGAATCCTCACCGTAGTATTTCATGATGTTCCCCGCCGTTCTCAAGAAACAATCATCAAGTTCCTCTGTCATTTGCATGGACTGTGTCATTTTCGTGCGATTTTATCTTCTTCTTGCTGATAGCTGATATCGATGCTGGCCGTCAAACTTACTTCAATTTTTAATCCGATTTTTCAACAGTTTCAATCGACTGCCGAACTGACGCCATTTAAAAACCAATCTTTTGACAAAAGATTCATATTTTTTGTAGATTCCGTTTCATGTCGTATCCATGTAAATCGTGTGTAATGAAACTTAATGATGAGATTTTCATCTCTGCTTATATCAACAGGTTTGAAAAATTTGTCGTATGATTTAATAAGACAAAAAATGGCAAACGCATATTAGTCTGAATTTTTTATTTTACGTTATAAATACGCGATTTACAAAACGAAAAATATGAATTTTTGAATTTGTCCGAGTTCCAAAATTCGTTACGGAAATTCACTTAAAGTTGCCGATCTATATAAGTATATTTTATCAATGCCCGTCGAAAAGGCGCGCGAAAAAGGCGGGAAGGGAGAGATTGGATTGCGCTGACCGCTATCCGTTAAATGGAAGGTGGACTGTTGAAAACCTAGAAAAGTGAAAGTAGTTGGCCTTTACCTCCCGTTGTTACATTTCAAATTATGTAAAACGATATCAAACCGAATATGTCTGTCGCGAGAAGCATTACGATTCTCTTTGTGCTCTCGGTAAGTAAAACCTGTTATTTAATTGTTCCAAAAAAGACTAAAACAAACGACGAACGAGATTTAAATAGTAGTCACACAAAAAGTAAGAAATTGATGTATAATTAAAATTTTACAAGGCGAGAATAACAAGTAGATTTCATTTGATATTTCTAAAATATCTTTTGAAAATCTCTCATAATTTCTACAAAATCTTTGCGACATATTAATGTTTCGAGTTTAATCTTCAGAGAAAAATTCGACGAAAATGGCGCGGCAGGAAAATGACAAAAATTAATGTTCTTCATCGATATGAAATTGAATTTTTCTGAAAATCGACCAATCGCGTGGTTTAGATTTTGCGTCAAGTGCTAATTTTTCTTCTATCTCTGATTACAGTCAATGTAATGCTGCAAAAACTGTTTTGAAGCATTCTTTGATTAGTGCGTATTCATAACATTTATTTTTCTGATTGGTCAATTAAATGTTTCAAAGCATTTGTAGTGAGTCCTGATCGCACACCCTCTCTCTCTCTCTCTCTCCCCCCCTACTTCTTTTCCTAAATCCGGGCTTTTGTCAGCACTTTTGGAATTCGGACGACCTTTTGCCGTGTACTCGCTAGCATTCTGTTTTCGCACTCGTCTCAGAGCAGCTCGTTATTTTATATCTTGACATCCTGAACAAAGGGTCAACAAAATCAGGTACGTACTCCTAATTTTCAACGATTTGAATTCGTTCGCGACAAGAGTTGCTTTCCATTTTCACACGAATGATATTGAAAAGTCCATAGTCATATCAGTATTTTATGCTCAGGTAATTATTTTAAAATAAAGTTACCGCATAACAACAGGTTTATAATCTCACTTTTACTGCAGTGAATTAAGACTCAATAAAATATGCGATTTCTAGCTTGTAGGTAAAAAAATTCGGTTAAACGAAACTTGTCAGAAATGAATAGAAACATGCTTTCAACCGAATTATGGCGACACAAATAAAAATTATCTAAATTTTATGAAAATGAAATGTAATTAACATTGTTGTTCGATATCATGTGTCTCTCGGATTAAGACGTATCTTTTTCAAGCATCGTTCGTCACTTATTTTTAGATGAAAAGGTCACATGATTAAATTGTTAGAATTTTATTGGTGACAAGTCCATCATGTGACTTTTTTTATCTCTTGAAAACGAGCAATGAACGATGACTAAAAGTGTACATTTAATTGGAATCGAAGTAATTATTTATCAATGCAATCATCAACGATTTACTGGATTCATAATCAATTAAAAATGGCGACTTTCCCTCGCAAAGTCAAGTTTCTCGCCATAACGTATTACGTAAGTTTTTATCGCAATGATAATACACTTTCGACGACAAATTATGACGACAATCATTGATACAATTACACATTCCGATCCCCCCATTTTGGTCTAATTCCTGCTTTTTCTAAAAAGTACAGTCTTTTGTGTGCACCGAATTATTACAACTATTATTATCATTAATATTTTAAATTGCGATTAAGATAATAATTATCGTGTGCTATTAAGATAAGAGTAGTAGAACGCAATTTATCGTATTCATTAAGATTTTGCTTATGTGCCTGTCTAGATGCTAACGAGAGTCTGCTTTCTGGGGACCAGTAAAACCGTTTCATTTAGTACAGTAAGAAACATCACCGGAATGTCAAAGTTTGATTTACCAAATCGTTTGAAAGGCAATGAAAAATCCGTCTGGTAAATAATATTATTTATAGATATATTAGTTCTTTATATGTTTATAAGTTTTTATATTGACTCATAAAACCTTATTGTTACATCTGTATTGGTTATGTTGTGTTTGGTTAGGGTCGAATATATCCAGCTTGCTCTGCAATATAAGCCACTGAACTTGGGTCAAGGCTTTCCTGACTATTATGCCCCAGAAAATGTGACCAATGCTTTGGCTAGTGTCGCTAAAAGTGACAATCCACTTTTGCAACAGTATACGAGAGGATTTGTAAGTAACAAGCATCTTATTTATTGACTTTTCAATTATTTTGTGTTTTATTATATATATAATTTCTCTTTATTTCTCATGAATTTGATATTAACTTGATTTTTATGAAACATTAACACAGAGAGAGTATTGCAATTGTAATTGTTATCAATAACTAGCATTGATAACATTATCTATACGTGATAAGATGAATTTTCTTCACTAACGTAAATATAAATATTACAGGGTCATCCAAGACTAGTGAATGCTCTTGCAAAGTTTTACTCCAAGCTTATCAATCGTGATTTGGATCCAAACAAGGAAGTACTAGTCACTTCTGGTGCTTATGAAGCATTATATTCCAGTTTACAAGGCCATACTAATCCTGGAGATGAATGGATCATCATTGAACCCTTCTTCGATTGTTATGTACCTATGGTACAGTCTGCTGGAGGAATTCCCAGATATATAGCATTAAAACCGGTAGGAAGTTTAGATAATAAACATAAGGAAGTTACTTTTTGCATTAAATATGGTATATAATATTACATACTTGCAGAAATCTACATCAGGCACAGTTACCTCTGGCGATTGGATATTTGATAGGAAAGAAATGGAAAGTCTCTTCAATCAGAAAACTAAAGGTATTATCATCAACACTCCACACAATCCTATAGGAAAAGTATTTACACTGGACGAATTGCAATTTATTGCCGATCTTGCAAAAAAATGGAACACACTTGTGATTTCTGACGAGGTTTACGAGCATATTGTTTACGAGCCATACAAGCATATAAGAATAGGTAAGAGTTGCCTTAAAAAATTAATTATAAGCGATATAATAATCGTAGAATGGTATTTAAAAAATTATTCTTTTAATTAGCGACATTGCCTGGTATGTATGAGCGTACAATTACGATTGGATCAGCGGGAAAAACATTCAGCGTTACGGGTTGGAAAATAGGTTGGGCCTACGGACCAGCAAATTTGTTGTATAATCTGCAAGTTATACATCAGAACTCCGTGTATACTTGTACTACACCAACTCAGGTAATTATTATAATTAAATACAATTTTTTTAATTCTGTAATTTTTACTCTCTGATTACTTTTGTTTTAATTGTAGGAAGCAGTAGCTATCGGATTTGAATTGGAGATAGAACGCTTAGATCATCCAGAATGTTACTTCCGCAGTCTGGCAATGGAATTATTACCGAAGCGAGATTATATGGCGAAATTCCTCCGAGAAGTTGGTATGGTACCGACGATACCCGAGGGTGGATACTTTATGCTGGCTAACTGGTCTGCATTGGAAAACAAAGTGAAACTACATGAGGAAACGGACGAGAATAAAGACTATAGATTTACCAAGTGGATGACGAAGAACGTCGGTCTTCTAGGTATTCCTCCTACGGCGTTTTACGGTCCCGAACATAAAACTCTAGCAGAGGACTACGTACGATACTGTTTTATAAAGGTAAGTGCGTGCTATCGCGAAGTACAATAACTTTGATTAAGACAACAAACGATTGTGGCGTTCGTTAAATATCGATTATTACATTTTAACAGAAAGATGAAAATTTGAAAGCAGCCGACAAAATTTTGAAGAAATGGGCGTCCAAATAATTAGGACTATGGACATATACATATGTTTATGTGTATGATATGTATATTTTGTGACTATTAAATGCTTCGTGCATTAATTAATTTTTAGATTGTCTTTTATACTATTCGAACACATTGTGCATATGGAAAGTTTAACTGATATAATTAGGAAAAATTTTATAATTATCCTGACTATAATTTTTATACGTATTTAGCACCAATTAATCAATGATGTTTTAATATTATATTTGTGATATTAAATACATAAGAAAGAGAGCATGTATAAATCTACACATATATAAATATGTAAATGACATATTTAAATATGTAAATCTTTATATATTTGGATATAAGATTAATTAGGTGATTTTTTAATTATTTAGAAGTGTTTCTTAATTTTTATCAGAATTGATCTAGTAATCGATTTAAATAAGCATTGTTATAAAGTTAAATTATAGGTCGGAGTCTCTTCGAAACCATTTCTTAACATCTTTTGAGTCAACTCCGAACGTTTTACCGCATCTACAAAATAAAGACGTTGTTGAAAACAATATTGTTTTCTTATACTTAGATCCTCGGATTCTTGGATCCCTGAGTCATCCTTTTTCGTTGGATTCTCATTGTTAGATTCCAACTCTTCATCCTTAGATTATAAGCTTTTGAATCCTTAGATCTCCGGGTTGACATATCCTCTCCTCATATATTTCACTCATTTTATATCATATGTTTATAAATAATCTAATTGATTATGTTTAATTAATTAGTTAATGAAACTAGCCTGAACATTGCTCCAGGAATATGCCCAAAATAATTTGGTATCATTCCGACGTTTTTATGGTAGATTTCAGTGGACTGGACAAGGGACGGAGGTTCCTGATAAGTTGTAGTCATTATTTTATATTTTGCACTCTGTCCTTTTCGACACTTTACGAAACTGTACAATGCATCGTCATGTAACGGAATTATCGATGTTTCGAAGTAGCCGTGAGGAATATGAGTCGCGTATCCTTTACAAAGTATATTTAATATGATATATATTTTTCCATCAAAAATGTTATTTATTAAAAAATATAAAGATATTTTTATTTTATGAAAATACAAATTGAAGTATCAAACTTTTTGAAATTTTTTGCATGAAATATTTATAAGACTCTCTCTCTCTTACGAATTATTTTAAATAAATCTAAAAATTTAAAAATTTATTAAATAAAATTATATTACTGACAATGAGACAAACACATATAATCTTACAGTTAATCGCTTACTTTTTGCGTTTTCGCGGATGAAGGAATACCATGTTTGTTTATTTGAAAATTTCATTTTATTTGATTGCTAATAATCGTGCAAAAGTTGAATTTTTAAAGAAAGAATAAAGTTCAAGAGTTACAAATTATGTTTTTTAATGACAGAATTTAATGAAAAATTTTTTTATTTACAGAAACAATTGAAACGCTTTATTAATATAAGGTATACAATTATTTTAATTGTCATTTTGCAATAAAATTGATCACAAAATTATAAAAAATTTATCTTAATAGGAATAAGAGCTTAAAAATAATGAAAAGTTATTTGCTCCGCAAATTTTATTCGACAATTTAATTCTTTTTTTTTTTATTTAATTTTATAATTATACAAGTAACATAATTTAATAATTTTATATGTTTATATTATATATAAAACGAAGATATGTCATTTTTTGATATTTCACATTTCTTGTTGGATGATAAATTATTCATCGTTGCTACATATTCAGGTCGCACAGTGAACAAAGGTAATTTAAATGAGGTCTTAATTAGCTGTAATAATAATTAAATTATTAGAAATTAAAGAGGTATCGTTCTATCTTTAATTTCAAAATTTTGACGATTCTTTAATTCTTCTCTCACCAGACGTTCTTCTAAATTCCGGGGTTCGGCTCGCCCGCATTGCACGTTGATCGTTCTCCTCAGTCGGTCTAAAGCCGCTTTATTTCGCAATTGTTGTCGTTCGAAATCGGCGAGACCTTCGGTCGTGTGCACCGCGTATCTCTGGCCGAGTGTAATGTTCGATCCTGGTACAAAACCTATACACAATGCCCAGTAATCGGTTAAATTTCAAGGAAAACTCGTTTCACGGCAACACAAACTCATAATTTTAAACGCGTATCGGAAGTTTGTACAGATAAGCAGTACAAGGAACCGATAAGCACCCTCGTATCCTGGCAACATGGGGTGAACAAAGAGAGAATCAGTCCTCTTGAATCGGGTATTGACCACATTTATGTCACTCTTCGATGGTCGCTGTACACGTGTATGAAAATGGATAAAAAGTTATTTAAAAAATGCGCGACCCATAAGGCAAATTGAAATATTCTTAAATTTTTTTAAATTTATATGTTTATCTTATATATTTTTTATCTTATATTATCTTATCTTTTATTTACTATGTTATCGCCAAGTATAGCGCCGCATATCATTCACCTCACAATCGGTAACTGCACGATTTGCTAGGACGAGTGTTTTCGCATGATTAATTGTAGGATCGAGCAGTAGTTTATGCGTGGTTTTTGCATACGTTTCACCGCAATTAAATCGATACTGCGGGCAGTAACCGGAATATCTGGAAAAAATAATCGGGCAATTTTTTTGAAATTTGCGAAGTGTTTTACATAGTAAAGTATGGCACCGTTTCAGATTCTTAACATATTAAACTATTGGATTATTAAACAATTTACTTATTAATTTTTAATTTAAAGATATAGGACTGATTGGTTATAGGAGTTATTTTTCTACCCTGGGATAAAATGAGGATCTGCCGTTATTAAAAGATCCATTCCAGCAGTTTTGTACTGTGAAATTTAAATTTCTTCAAAGAATCTATCGAAAAAAAAAGCAAATTACAGCTTTTATTTCATATAAGGAACATTTTCTCGCCTTAACCTGTTAATTTAAATGTATACTAAATGCCAAACAATTGAAATTCTAGTGACTTCACTCGTTACGAGCCTTTTTGCAGCGTTTTTCGTTGAGTAAAAGAATTAATGCGGGTTGAGAGATAATCGATCGACAAAAGGGGAGATAGGGATAACGAGGAGAGTGGAAAGAGAAAGAGAAAGAGAGAGTATTTGTGATAGAGTAGGGAGAACACGCGTTGCGTACTTAAACAGGGGAAGGTGCGTGATTATAGTTTCGCTTTTCAGTTTTCACGGGACCACCGCGACGATAGGATGTATTAACAAATGCCTCTAATATAATTAAAATCTTTCATTGCTCAGCATCCGATATTTGTGTGTGTAATTAAAAATATTCAAATATAAAAAATTAAAAATTAATGAAAAGGCTTTGTTTATGATGAGATAAAAATACAGTGCGGAAATAAACGCGATTCATTTTTGGATTACAAATATCAACAGTGGAAGTGATTTATGATTCAAAGATAATTGATATATACAATACAAAGAAAAAAAACGGTTTTAATCATCGAAAAAATTATCAAAAGAGATTGGTGTGATATAATGTGGAATAATTTTATAAATATTTGTAAAGTGTTACGATGCGATTGTGTTTCCTTTTTTTTATGTTTAAAATGGTAATGGAAACGAGAAACTAGTTGTTTACGTGATTGAACAGGTTAATATATTATTTAGAAAGAAATAGAAGCGAGAACTATGTGGTTCCGTCCAGAGATGAGTTCCATCTTTTACATCGAATCCAACTGCGAGAATATAAAAGTAACTAAGGATGAGGTAAACGACTTATTTATGTTTAAGCTAATGACATTTTAATGAGCCTGACTGACTGATAGCAACTAATTGTATTTCTTAATTGGCAGTACACACAGAAAAATATTTATTTTAGTACTAAGAAATGTGATTACTTAATTTACTTTCTTCCTTTCAAATACCTTTTAGAAAGAATATCTTTTTGATTATAATTTTAAAACATATACTTATTACAGAAAAACTTATTATGTATTTAAAACAAGATTGTTTATCTTTGAAAAATATAAAATTGATTGAAGAAACGATTATGTGTAATAAATAAATCAAACTTGTTTTAAGTGAAGATAGAGATTTGTGGATATATGAACTTTCGAAATACTTGAAACAAGTAATTGTTAGTGTAGAGTATGTATTTTTTCTGTGTGATATTAGTATTAGTATGATGACATATGTTAATAACTTTGTACGTGTTTAGTTAATGAGCGGAAATAATAGGAAGAGAAAACGAGACAGATAATCAGTAGAAGGAAAAATGAGTGACAAAATAAGATTTGCGGAAAAGTGGAAATTCCACCTACACTGCAAAAGCAACGATAATAATAATGCGTAATAGGAAAAGTGAAACTTATGGAGGTAATACTTAACGCCTGGCCACGTTTATGAGTTCTCCGGATATTTCGACAGCGAGACAAGAGAGAGTGGAAAAAGTCGCAAAATTACCCGCATTGCAATTATTCAATTCTGTACTTTGCTGAAATTTTAATCTATTTGTTTACGTAATGCAAAATACAGATTTGCTCACGTAAAGAAAGAATTAAATAATATTCTCAGCAGTAATTTATTGGCTATATCTTGGTTAAACGTTGGGAATATATTTAGCCAATGTTATGTCAATAAATTTTGCTACTAGAGTTTCCTGATTAGGTATTCCTTATAATATCATCTATACTTCAATCAATATCGTTTTTGCAAGAAAATATCATAAAATTAAATATTCCTGATGCTGATTCATTAAGCATTAATTATACCGTTTATACTTTTGAAGGGAGGGTTTTGACCTGGCCAGATGCATACCAGGTGAACGAAATGCAGTTACATGCGTGCGACAAAGAAGTACTAATTTTTTCCATTTAGCTTGGCGTTTGTGTCGCGTCCCCACAACCGGAAGCAACGTTATCATGCATTACTTACTCGCTGCCAACTTGCGATGTGGGTGTAGGACATATAGCGTCAGATATACATAATAAAAACGTTATATTGTACGCATATTATAATCAGAAATTTAATTTTTACGTTTTTAACCCGATAGTCATGACATGTGTCAATTTAAATCGAAATCTAATTAGCAAAAACGTTAGGTTTTCTATAATATAAAATCGACATAAGTTCCTAGCAGGATTAATATGTATTTTATTTTAATTAAAATTAAAAAATGTAAACTTTAATTGACTACCTGTCTCTTCTTGTCGTGTTACGTCGACGCTAGCAATAAATTAGCAGTCGGATATCAATGCGCAGATCGTTAATCTCAGTGAATCAGAAGGTTAATTCATTCATCCTTCACAGACTCTCTTAATTAGAGCTCAGTAAATCTATAAATATATCAGGGCTGGATTAACTTATAGACTTTCGCTTTATAATTCTTTGTTTTGCTGTTGCAGTGGTTTTTCATATTTCAAATAATTAAATACATTTACATATTCTCAGAGAATTGAAAAATGGTATTTAAGAAATAAATTAGATTAATCCATTAAATTAGATTAAGTTACATTTGAATCGTTATTTTATCATCGAAAAATGCGAAACGGAAACTGCGAACGGAAGCAGCTATAACGCTGCAATGCGCACAGAAACTTTGTCGACACGCGAGCGTTTCTCTGAATATCAATCATTTTCTCAGGGCTTTATAGGTAACAACTTGGTTCTCTGGACATGTTTCTTCAAACAAAAATAAAACATTTAATAGTGGCGTTTACCTACTATTTTTCGTACACTCTCAATTTAACATAATAGCTTTCAGGAAACTATATAATGGGAACCAGAAAAATTCACAGTTAAATCAAATTGTTAAAAGCTTAATTAAATCTCACTCAATGAAAATTCGCAATGCATTTTCATAAAAATTATAAAAAAAACTATCGTTTATTTTTCTTTAATAATGATAATTGAATAATGAAAAATATATAATTTTTCTCGGGAGTGGGGGGATTATAAAGAAAATTGGGAAATCCCTGAAGGTTCTTAATGATATCCAAAAAAATTTCTACATGACGCAGCACGGTGCATGGCACGCGCGTGAAACATATGAGTCACTCGCGTCCTACTGCGTGTATCATAAAAAAAGAAAGGGAACAGAGGAACATGCGGCTCCTCTAATTTCGTCACTTTAATTCCGTTTCTTGAATATCAATGGTTCTCGATGGTTGCGTCCGATTGCATTCGAGTATCGATGCTTCGCTTTGGATAGCTATAGAGTCCCACACGTTGCTCAGTACGAACAATGAAACGAGCGCGAATGTGATGCGAGTCACGCCGATCACGCGGATGCATCGAACGCGTGCGTACGAACAAAAGAGTTAGGAGACGTGGATACAAGGCGCTATGTGCCACCGGAGGATGATGAGGAAACGACGTCGTCGTCGTCGTCGTCGTCGTAGTCGAAGAACACGCGCGTACATAATTTACTCGCGACAACGATCATCCGCATAATTTACGGATCGTCGAGTCGACCCTTTCGTTTCTACGAACGACAAAGAAGTACGACGGTGGACTTTAAGTTTGTCCTGCATTTAGTGAATTGGAACATCGATTTATCGGGTGATGTAATCTGTCGATATAATGTGAAATAATTCAAGCAAGTATAAATTGAATTGATAAAAAAATCACAGCGATTTAAAATACACTGAAAAAAATGCTTTAAATCTTAATATATTCCTTTGAATAATATTAATTAAATATTAACTTTCAGGAAATAAATATTTAACTTAGAATTATTCAAATATTTTTTAATTTTTGCTACAGTTTCAATGTATATAATAAAAATTGATTTTATTGATATTATATATGTATGATAAGATTGATAGATATATATAATGTGCGCTAAGTATGAGGATTTTTTAAATACTCTTTATACAAACTCTTTGATTAGAACTTGAAGTCGATTTCTCTTTAATGGAAATTCAACGCGATTTGTATTCGCAAGTTTTTATCATTTTCATATTAATCTCAATAAGAAACTGTCGCGGAATAAAACAGCGAGTATCCCGATGCTACGGAAATCAATCTATTTCCAAGGTGGAATTCTTTCTGGTGACTTTCTCACACGCCAGTTTCAATGTGACCTCATTCCGTAAGGAATCCGCCTATCAGACATACTTCGACGTATCCACTGAAACGCGAAAATGACGAGAAATTTCGCGAGCGATGCAGCGATCGTGCGATCCGATTTTCTTAGGCCGTCAGGATCTTAAATTCCTCGAGGTGACGCGTGATTTCTCCAGGAACAATGATGATTAAGGGCCGGCAGATTAGACTAGAGGAATCCACGTCGGGATGTGGTTAACGGTTACCAGAGGCCCTTGCACTCCTCAGCTCGACGCGTCATAAAGAACGAGCGATATTAACGTTTATATATACATACAGGACGCGCGGCCGCTTCCTTCTGCATCGTGACTCACGCGCGCGTCTGCTGATCTCCTCTGGCAGACTTTATGGTGCTGGAAGCACCGTAATCCATAAACCCGCGCCAGTAGAATCGGTGAACACGACGGCTCGCGTCGTTAAAGCCGCAAGGGCTCGTAAGGCGCTGAAAACGGTCCGTGCCTTGAGAACGTAGATGAAATATAGGCTTGAATTCTTTTTACCTTAGATCCTTTTAAACTACGTAACAAAGTGTACACTTGAAATCAACAAAAGGATAATAAGAGATGCAGAGTGGTTGGACGAAGCGTAGTTTTTTTAATTAATCTCAAAACCGTATTTTAGTAAAATTTCTTTTTTAGATTTGTTATCAAAACAGCGCTTCGAATATTAGAAATTTAATAATAGAAAACCATCGTTATAGCTAATTGTAATGTAGGATATACTGATTCCAAAGCTCAAGGAATTCTAGATTCAAGAGTTATAGTATTATAATATTGAAATAATAGAGCGCTAAACATGTGGATTCTTTCATTCTTATTCCGCTTGGTTACATTATTAATATCGAATTTACCGGCGATTTTTTCAAAGA